TCCAACTATCTGCCCTCAATTATCAGATGATCAGTCCACATATACGGACTGGAATGCGAGGAGAACTGTACTGGATAGACACTTGGAAAATCTCAGGTTCATGATATCCTTCTTTGAAAATAAGACTGATTGCAGACGGTCTCAGCAGTTGCATCACTTTGGTGAATTTTATTCCTCTGAGATGTGTTTGAAAAGCAGAGCGTCTGCTTGCGACAACTGTGAGGCTAAGGTAACTGGCATGAATTATTTAATTTCATCTTCAATATATTATGTGATTTCTTGTAAAGAAATTGTGTGTTGCTGTGAAATTACAAATTTAATTTAACATTTTCAGGGTCAATATACTGAAACTGATGTAACAGCAGAAGCTCGGGCAATTGTGAAATTTGTTAAGGACAAGTGCAACGGATCAGGGCCCAAATTTAATTTCTCTCTCCTACATAGTGTTGATGTCTTCAAGGGAAGCAAAGTGAAAAAAATTGTTGAAGCAGGTTAGCATTCTTTTACATTACACTAGCCTCATTTGTTTTGTCATATATATTTTTTATTTCAATATTCTTGAATTTTACCAGAACATCATTTGCATCCTATGCATGGCATGGGTAAAAAATGGATGAAAACTGATATTGAGAGGTTGTTCCACAAGTTAGTTATTGAAGATTATTTAAAGGAAAGCCTTCACACCAACCATCTAGATATGACCAATGCCTATTTGAAAGTTGGAACAAAAGCTGGCATGCTATTTGATCAAAACTTCAAGGTATAACCCATATACATCTACCAATCCATGCCAATCCACATGTATTGTTAATAGTTAGTGGTGCTTCATATATATTTTCTGCTTCTTTCAGATGATGTTCCCAATGAATGGACCCGGAAGTAAGGACGTAACTGAAGTGGAAGACACTACTAATGATCAATCTGATCAGGAAATGGAGGAAATTCTTAGCCTGTGTTACACTGAATTATCAGAAAAAGTCCAGGCTATGGCGGATTCTATGGGTGTTAGCTCTGCCTCCATTATGAATCTTGAGGTAATAATTCTCCCATTTGCAATTTCAAAACTATCAAGACTTTTACTACCGGTAATTTTTTTCTTATTATATCTACATCTATATTTTTGTCAGGCCGTGCGCACCATGTCTCAAGAATTGCCTGAAAATGAGGAGGAGATGCTGAAAATACCCCATGTCACAAAAGCCAACTTCTTAAAGTATGGAGATGCCTTATTGGAGGTGACCCAGGAGTATGCCAAGAGAAGAAACGGTATGTTATCACACTCAATGGGAACAGATTGTGAGCCTTTTTTGCTGTCCATAAATTATAAAAGCTTTTGTTTTTTGTACAGCTCTTTTAGCTAAACGGGAAGAAGACAAAGTGAGGGAAGCCTTTGCAAATGGCATTGAAGACTGGGACGATGATTTTGATGGTGGCGCCAATGACAATGAACAGGAGTCGCCATATTTCGCATCACCAAGTGGAAGCAAACGGGGAGGATTTAAAAAGAAAGGTGGTTTCCGTAAAGGAAAGAAAACGTGGAAGAAAAGGTGGGGAGTCTAATATGTAATAGTATTGTTTCATACTCTGACATTTGATTAGTTTAAAACGTTCGTGCTTTACTGGTTACAGCCGAGGAGGTAGCTCAAGGAGTAGGGGATCTTCTAGTGGTTCAAGCAGTCGTGGTTCATCTTCAAGCAGAGGAGGAGCTAGTAGTCGTGGTGGGAAGAAAGGTTCCAGCAGCTCAGGGCCAGGCATTATGAAAATGCCCAGTTCTCGTTCATTTTTGGGTGCGCCACGCGTATCCTCGATTTAACTTGAAATTTGTAACTAATTTTTTTGTGATAAGAATCATCAGGGTACTTGCTGTAAACCTGTAAGGTGATGTAGTTTAATGTGTTTGTTATTTCATTATTAATAATTGTATGTGCTTTAAGTTTCTTTTAGAAAGTAACTTTTTCAGTAACAGTTTATTATTTACATTTCTTTTTCCTTTTGAACTATGGTGTTTGATATAATAGCATTGATTTACTTTCATTCAAACCTAACAAATTGCAAAGCAACAAATTACCTCTGTAGTGTGTATGAACTGTAAATAGGTACCCATGATATTTATTTTAATTTATCTTTCTACCTGTAACATTATTATACAAAGTCACTGATGGCCAAATGTGTGCCCCTGTGTATTGATACCAGTACAAACCCACCCAGAAATGAAGATCGATTCGACGTCGAAACGACGCCGAATCGATGTAAAAATGGTCGAATCGACGGCGACATGACGTAGATTCGACTTTCATTTCTAGTTGGGAAACTACATCTAAAATTATCTGAAGCGAGTTGTTTGAATTGTGGTCAACTAGCAATAATTAAAAGAGACATTCGTACGGCTTTTGTATTTATTTTCCAACATCAGTCGGTCGCAGATCAAAAGGGTAGTAGGCGTGTGAAGAGGTCCAGTGTGCCGGTGGTGCAGCCGTCGAACATCCTGGCGCAGATGTCGACGGGGTCCCGGGCGCCGCGCACCTGGCGGCCGGCTCGCTCCGCGGCGTGGAACTCGTAGTCCTCGTGGCGCAGCACTGGCTCGCGTGTGGCGGATGGGCTGTATGGCCAAGGGACAGAACCACGTACCATTCGTCTCGTTATTTTTTAGGAATGTGGTAATTTTTTTTTTCAACGCCCTTCAGTTGAGGGCTGATAAGTGCAGCATATTGGACGCCGGTCATAACATTACCCCACCAAAACAAAACGACGGCGTCTACGGAATACATTTTTTAAAACGGCATCCAAAAGCAAGAGCACTGAAATTAGTGCCCCGAGGGAGATCATTTTTTGAACTCAATGGGAGCGCCACGGGTGCGTCGGTCCTTACGTGAGCACGACGTGCAGGAGCTCGCCGAGCAGCCCATCGTGCCTCAGGGAGAAGGCCGCCGCCTCGCAGACCGCCTTGAGCAGGCACTGGCGGCCCTTGCCCGCGCCCGCGCCCAGCTGCTCGACGGCGACCTGCAGGGTGTCGTACAGGTGCCAGCGGGAGGGCAGGTGCTCGCTGGGGGCG